TATATAGTCTATTTGGAATGAGATCGTACCTCGGCGGCGACCAGTTTTTGTTTGTGACGCTCAGATGCTTCGCCTACCACAAAAGCTTGTAAGGCTAGCGCTGTGGAACAAAGCCATGCTCATGCGTAGAAATTGGCCGCCAAGGTAGGATCTCATTCCGAATAGACTGTAGCATATAATACTTATACTTTTTCACAAGTATAAATAAAATAAAATAATAAATATGTACATTTTAAAACTGAAAAGAAAAATTTTAATATTAAGCATACTGCATAATTAGCACTATATTAACAAAGTTTGACAACTATTTTAAACATAATTTTTTAACAAATTCTAAGTAATTATAGCCCCAAATATCAAAAGTAAAATATAATTTCTATTAAAAAATAGGTTAGGTACTAACCTTCATTTTATCATAAATTACATTTATTTATAATATAGATTTATATACATCAATAAGGCCTTAAGTAATAATTTTGAGCGTCAAAAAGCCATATTTATCTTATATAATCTCAAAAGTTTATGTTAAAAAACATATACTCTCGTGCATAATGCTTCAAAATATCTTGAAATATGTACATATATCATTTTAATTATTTTCAAAACCATGATCTTATTCTTAGTATTACATTATAAATTGTAATTCTCTGACAAATATTACGGCTCTTTATAATTTATATATAAAAAGAATCTATTGCTACAATAAATATTCGGTACTAAGCATTGGTTGTTGAAGAAGTAAAATAATGATGCAATTAAAATAAAAATTGGTTAAAACCATTTTTTTTTTTAATATTATTTTACTTAATATTTATCAGGTTAGGACTGAACTACAAGCCACAAAATATATACACATTAATAAGTTCTTCTCATCTATATGATTAAAGTGGTATGAATAATTATATTATAATCTTATCACCGTCAAAATTTGTGAAATGAAACTCAAAACTGTATTCTCTCACAAGCAAACATTTGACATTTCTTAATCCTATTGAAATAAATTCAAAAAAATAAATGAAAATCCATACAAATCTGGATTAATAAGTAAGGTTATGTGTACATTGCTGCTCTGATCATGTAATATAAATATATATGTATATATTATATTATACTCTTAAATCGAAGATCTTTATTTATTGTACAAGATTGATGGGATATTCTAATTATTAAGTACGATTTAAAAATTGTATATTATTTCAATTCATATTTAATTTTAATTAATTTAAAAACAAGTAGAAATGTTGCTAAAAAACAAAGTCAGAAAACTTGCACTGTTCAGTAAAGATGTGATATTTGATATCAAAAACATATTTTTGCTTACAATATAAAACGATTCTGAGTGGAGACAGCCTAATTTCTGATATTTTATTTATTGGTATTAGCTATTTATTTATCTGATAGTAATATGATAAGTTTAACTAATTTTTGCTGTTATCGTAATATTACCTACTCTTATTAATATAAATATAAGTCAATACCGAATTACTGTAGTAGAATGATGTTAAAGATCATAATTTGATAGGTGTCCTAAAATATCATTCTAAAAAATACCAACTAAATCCAATTTGTTACTAAAAATTACCTTCGAAATTAAAGATTAATGCATTTTTCATTTATGTTTTATAATAAAACGTACATATTCGAAAAAAAAAAATATAATTTTTTAAAATCAATAAATTCATTGCTTGATTTAGAATTTAAAAATTAATTAATGGAAATCATTAAGACTTTAAATTTAAAGGTTTATAATTATGTATACAAAAATTTTATTCATTATTAAATAAACATTTCATAAATTAAATTTTTTATAAATTTTGGTCGTTAAATTCAATATTTTATTAGTTTAGGAACAATGAATTATCTTGGTTGTTATTTATCACTTGATAAGTTTTATTATAATTATATCACAATTTTCAACTGAAGTACTAATGGATAGCAATACTAAAAATACTTAAAATTATAAATTTACATCAGATAAAAAACACTAACTTTTCAATTGTAAAAGATTTATTTGTCATAAATTTAAAATTATTTATAATTAATTAAACAATTTACATCAATGTAGCAGCTTGTGCTCTTCTTGCTCTAATCTCTGCACGTTTATTTTCAACACTAGTCCTCTCGTGAATACGTCTTTTGTATTTAAGTAATTTAATTTCTTTTTCTCTCTTCATTCTACCAGACTTCATACTTTTATATAAGTTTCTATATTTCTTTTGAATCATTTTTTCTTTAAGAAGTTTCATTTGATGCATTTCTCGTCTAAGTTTTCCTTTATTTATTACTTCTGGTGTACCTGACTCTACCTTCATTTTTTTACGCTAAATAATTGAATGAAAAAAAATTAATATTAATACCAAAGAATAATATAAAATAATTATTTACTTTAATTTCAGCTAATTGTTCTTCAGTCATTTCACCATCATACTCATCTAAATCCTCATCATCTGCATCCATGGTTTCATCCTCAGATTCTTTTTTATCATCTTCAATGTCTTCAATATCATTATCAGAAATTTCATCCAATAGTTCTTGATCTATAGAAAATAAAAAATTAATTAGTATTAGTTTTTTATTACCAAGAAAAATACATTACCTTTATTAACTATTACAGATGGGTCAGTTAAGGCTTTCTCTTCAGGTGGAATATAACGTTGTGTACGATATTCAACAGTAAATGGTGACAAATGAGGAGGTAATGGTGTACCAATAAAATATTTATCAACTGGTAAAAGTTCACGTGCATTTACACAATCGAATACCCACTGTGGCTGAACATAATATCTGAAAAAATAATTGAGAAAATATTAATAACAATAAAAAAAAAAAAAAACTTAGTTTATTCTGTATTATTATGAACAATATGAACAGATGAATAGTTTTATTATACTATAAGAAAAATTATATATTGTGTAATATTTAGCCCATTTAGAACAAGAGGAATGTGGTATTAGTTTATTTTATATGAAATTTAACTTTGTACCAAGACGGTCAATTACATAAACATAAACAATTCAAGTTACCTTGAAATATATTGTTTTTCAATATCAGGTCTGTCCACTATTTGATGAGTAATGGTTTCATCAGTTTCTGAAAAAGTAGCACCTTCTGGGAATGTGGTTTCATCCCAAGACACTTGAGCTCCAAAACATCTGAGTGCAAATACCAAAGGTTCTCGGGGAACTTCTCTATTTAAGAATACTTTGAGACCTTCAAATAGTTTCTTTAACTTTCTTACTTTCTCATATTCTTTGCGTGCTTCTTCAGCTTTTGATTCATCACCATCCTAAAGAGATTAAAATTTATTTCATAATATTTAATAATAGGTGCATTTTAATTAATTTCATACCATTGCAAAAGTATCTAAATCTAACTCTGCGTCAGCAGGGTCTTCAACATCTTCTGCAGTTTTTTGTAATGGTAAATTTAATGCAGCTACACGATCACTTGTTTCATTTTCTTCTAAAATTTCTTCTTCGAGCCTTTCAGCTAAAATAAAATAATATTTTAATAACAATAAACATACAAGAAATTCAAATAATCACCATTATATGATCCAAGTCGTGGAGGATAGTGTAGATTTAAATTGTGGAAAAGACGGAAGTTTACAAAACCTAATGCAGTTGAGTAAAAATCTGCAAAAGTGGCCATGGTATAAAAATCAACTTCTTGTTTTTTTTGTGGCTAAAAGAAAGTTCATTATTATTATCATATAAATTAAAGTTGAAAAAATATAAAAATCTTACTTCGTGTGGATAATTATGAGGAATAATCCAAGTAATAATTTGGCCTTTTAATTCAACTTGAAAATAAATTCCTTTAATAGATATGAATACTTTACGTAAAGCACGTGCAGCAATGCATACATGCATAAATTCAACAGTTAGGCGACGGCATAATGCAATTAAATTTGGAGGAATGCTTTTTAACTTTGGAAAAGTGGCAAACAAACAGCAAAGGGTTAAAGCATCATCCATATCACGTAATGCATCAATAAATGTTGGATATCGTTCTTTCACGACATGATCAATGGCAATACGTGGGATAGTATTTGCATATCGTTTTATCATATCTTTTTGATGCATTCCCTTGGCACGACGTAATCGATTTAAGTGTACCTACAAATGAACATTATTAAAAAAAAAATGTAAAATATATATTTTGTTGTCCAAACTTACTTGAAGATCTCGTAATTTCCATATCATTGGTTCGTGCAACAGAAACAGTATATCTTTTTTTAGATATAAAATATGTATACCACTCTTTCCTCTTTGAGCTCGTCGACGGTGAGCAGGTTCTCTTGGATAGATCCCTTTGATTATACATAGTGTACGAAAATCTTTCAACGATAGCTGGAGTTTATTTAAAGCTGCTCGTCTTGTGACATATCTGGCTCCCTCGCCGGATTGAAACTGTACAAAATATATATGTAATATAACGCATTTTGAAATCATTATGAATAATTGTACATACCTTTTTCTTTTGCATGGGCATTTTAGTGTGAAATATAAAATAATAACAGAAATATTAGAAAATTCGACAAAAAACGTGTTGCACTGTTGACATGTTGTTTATTAAGTAATCTAAAGAATTAAGTCGCATAACCTCAAACGGTTCAAACTGATTACCCCGTGGCCCATACTTTATAGCTATCCAATTTTGTGATAGTATATCAGTGAATATCACCAAACATTGATTCTGTGATAGTATCATGTGCTAAATTTTTAATTATGACTATGACTTTTTAGATTTTTTGTTGTTTATTTAAAAAATTGATAGTAATTAAATGTTATTCATTTAAGAAAATATTAATTATATTTTATTATTTTGCTTTTGAATAAAAATAATAAATAAGATTTTACTGATTACTGATTGAGCATTGTGTGAAATAAAAATCATTTTTTCAATTAGTATTTTTATGATAATTTTTTTATACATTTAAATTATAATTAGTAATAAACCTTAAATATTTAGCAATATTTAATAATAATTGCTTAATCATGCCTTCTGTAATTGAAACCACAAGTATAACTAGAAAAGAAGTTCTTGATATGATGAACGAAAAGGAAAAACTTGAACAACAACTAAAATCTCTTGGAGAAGTTTTGGAATCGGTAAATAGAAATCAAGTTTTTTTTAATTACTAGATTAAACTAAATTAATTTAATTAATTTATAAATCTAGGTTCATGGTTAAACATACATATTTAAACTTTTAAGTAATATTAATGTCATGTTTCTTAAACAATCATTAAACATTTAATAAGCTAATAATTTATGTTTTAGCCAAAATTAATGATTTCTTAAACATGATTGGCTTATTAAAGTTTATTGAACAATTAATTTTTCATGCAACCCATTACCTATATTGCGCAGCAATATTTTTATGATTTTTAAAGATTTTTTAAAAGAAACATTATATACCACTTTGTTATCTACCTATCTATCTTATTATAAGTGTAAGTAGTGTAACAAAGTAAACATATATTTGTAATAACATTAAGTTTTATCTTGAATTTTTTTCCTTTTTTTTAGTATATTATTAATATTGGCTCATTTAAAGTTTAAAACACAATCATTTAACTGTTAAAGTTTAAAATAAAAATTTCAAGTATGAATTAAATGATGTTTAATAAAAGACAAAATGATAAAAATACAGATATAACAAATTCATATGAGGTAATAAGATCAAATATTTATTACATTTTGAATTTTAGCATGGAGTTGGTATGAGCGAATCTTTAGTGGATGACCAAGACTTTCCTAGAAATGATATTGATGTATATCAAATAAGATTAATACGTAATCGTATTATTTGTAAGTATTAAATGTTACTGTTAAAATAAATATAGTATCTACATTTTCAATAAGTTATGAATATTATATAACTTTAAATAATTTATACTAATCAAAACTACTTACTTTTTCATTGGATCTAATAATATGGTTGTTTAAAGTTTAAAACAAGGTATAGAATGTCTTAGCATGTAATATAAGATTAAATATTGGCGTAGAACAATTTATTTTACTCTAGCTGGTATTTATTTATTATAAAAATGACAATTAAAATATGTATATGTAGCAATTGGATAGAATTATAATATTTTTTTTTTACTTGAAAAAACTTTATTAGTTTTATTGTACTAAAATTTAATAACTTACCTTCTTTTCTATTTTAGGTACACGTAACGATTTGAAAGCTTTAATGGATCGTATTGAAAAAAGTTTAAATGATTATTTTGCACATCGTAACCACAATGAATCTGAAGAACACATTCCTAATGGAAATTGCAGTTTAAAACCAGATAATTAATAATTCACCATTTGTATATTTTTAATATTATGATTTGTTTATATACTGAAATAATATAATTTAAAAATTTAAACTTAAAACTTTAACTCATAGTTAATATTTTATAATAATTGAATGTTTTTTTTTTTTTGTTATTTCAAGTATCTACAAGCAATTATGTAAATGTTACAAAATATTACTATTAAAGTCTGAACAAAAATAATTATATTTGGTAAATTGTTATGATTAAAAATACTTATATATTACCTACTAATGCTGTGTATTTTTTTTTCTTTTATTTCAAAATCTATGAAAAACTAATTGGATAGAATTTACAAAGTTAGTTATAAAATAAAGATGATCAATCATAGATAAATTATTATCATGATTCTTAAACTAAGCAAATCTCCACTCTCCAGATTCATTTGATTCCTATTGACCCATTTTCCTCACTATTTTTCAAAAACTTAACCTCAATCACATATTTCAAGTTATAGAATCCAAACTACCATATTACCAATTTGGCTTCTATAACTATCACTCCATCATCCAAAAAAATTCATCAGTTTGTTTACAATATTTTATATTAGCATTTAGCTAGAAAAAAGATAAATATGCACTGGCACATTTCTTGACATGGCACAAACCTTTGACAACGTATGGCTTTACAGTCTTCTATTCAAAATCAAAACCTTCCTTCCTCTTACTACTATCTCATTTTCATTCATACCTTGAAAACAAGCATTTTGCTGTACAATATGACCAATAAATATCAGACATCACTCCAATTAGTTGGTGTTTCCCAGGGAGCTGTAGCAATATCACTACTCTATAACTTATTCACTTCTAATCAACTCACCACTACTGCTGTCAACTAAACAATATTGACATCCCACTTAAATTCTGTCACTCCTCCAACTTACTTCTATCCTAAACTTACTTATCAATTGATCGAAGCTGGAGTGAAATGAAAAAATTCACGACCTACCGCCCAAAACTAGTAAGACATTTGAGTTTTGACATCCACTGTAGATAGGATTTTTGACACTAATAAATAGGTAACAATATAATATTAGGACAAATGATGCCAGTTTTTTTATTTATAAAATATGTTGATATAATATAACAAAATAAATAATAAGATTAACTAGTAGGTAGGTACCTATACAAATAAACAATTTAAATAAAAATTATTTAGTTCAGAAATTAAACAGTGAAATTTTAACATTTCTTTTTGAGCTTCTTCATTTTTTTTTAATTTTACTGTTTGTTAAAACATATTCTTGCATTTAATTTATAATAACTACTAGGATCCAATTAATTTACTCATATCTAAGGAACGGATTTATATGTAAATGCATATTTTGATTAAAACAATATATTTAAGATTCGATAAGAAATGTTCATGATTTAATTAATTCTAATTAAAATAATGCTACTTTTATTTTACATATTTTGGTGTGATTACATATTTTTACATAGGTAGATCGTAAGTACCTATTTCATTAATTTACAAATATTTTCAAACATATTTTATCATTTCATTAGGTATTCATAAGTTTTCAATTCATGTTGCAGTGAATAAAAACAGCCAATTATCGATGTATTTCCGAATATTTTCGAAAAATAGTTCAGGCTGTTACAGAAAAAAAATACAGGCTATACTGATTTTAAAACAATGAATGACATAACGAGTGGCAGACACCCTTCTAAAAAGACGACATTTAACATCCGATAATTTAATAATTATATTTTAATGTATTTTTTTTTTAATTAAATTTTTTCCCCACATTTTTTGATATTTTTAGCGCATATTTTATAAATTATACTTCCATATTTCTGTATTTTTATTACATAATATAAATCCATTCTCTACAGTCATATCTTATGCACATTATAGCTTACATATTATGTGATATGTACTTTTAATTAATTTTAAACATAGGTAACTCGTAGTGGTGTTTATTATCCTATACAAATTTTGCGTTAATCAATATCAAAATGTAAGAACAAGTAGGTAACTAGTAGTAAGTACCACGAACATTACGAACTACAACACGTATGACGTCTCAGTATGAAAAACTATTGATGCTAATTTCAAAACTTAAAGCACTAACTACTTATCACCCTCTCATCTCATAGATGAAATGGATTATGGTGTTAAATACTTATGTAAGTATATCATAATTTATAAAACAGTTTTTCTAGTTTCCAAAAATGACTGAATGAAATTTTTTATTTAACTTTTGAGTTATTTTTTTTTTGTACTGTCAACAGTTTTGTTAATATTTTGAAAATAGATTTATTTTGGTCACACTGTACTTGTATCATATTTTCCAAACGTTTTTCAACTTTCATTTTGTTAAATACCTACCTATGATCATAGAATCCGGGTTCTTATTTTATAATTTCCCCCTCTACTGAGGTCTAGTTTTCTTTTAGTTGTTAATTGTTAATATTCTTGCTTCTTGGTCTACATTTTGTAATATTTTTAATTTTTATCATAATTTGTATTACTTATAGTGATCTTTTATAATATTACTTATTTTATAAGTATTATTATTTTGGATTTTTTTTTAGACATTTTTATCAAATTATGTCTTATAACAAACGCAGTTGACCAATGTCGGACGCAGTGTTACGGCTGAAATGCCGTTCGGGAACCTTTCCAATGACAATTCCTTTGAATTGTTCAATATCTGTTTTGAAAGAACAGGTATCTGTACTGAGTGAAATACCTGTAGATAGCATAAAACTATTGTTTGGTTTTCCACCTAAGTCCATACAAAAATTAGAAGGTACTATTGAAGATGCTGGTCTTAAGTCAGGTGATACAATCATAGCTGAAGTAGACTCAAGCAGTTCAAGTGTACAACAACTCAAAGTAGATACAGAGAGTAATATTTTAAAGCACATTACAGAACAAGAGGTTGGAGATGAAGTACCATTAATTTTGCGTAAAGTTGTACCAGCTGATAACTCTTGTTTGTTCACCAGTATGGGATTTGTGTTGGGAGGTAATATTAATTTAATTTCCTTATTGAATATTTTTATTTCATTGGGAATATGTAGTATTATGTTATTCGAAACACTGTACGAAATAATAGGTACTTATTTATTTAATTAGGTACTTCTTATTTGTCAGATGTCATCAATGTTATGTATCCTTATTAAATAAGTTGATAATTTTACCTAAATAAGTACTGAAAATAACTTTAAAGTTATATTTTTAATTTATTTTGTGACTAATAACAGATAAAAACAAAGTGGATATTATTTATACTTAACTCTTAAAAGAATGTCAGTGCACTGTTTGTTATCTCTTTTTGGCCTACCTGTAACTTAGTTAAAACGTATTAATGTAGAATCATTTTTTTGCTATTTTTTAAAGTTTAACTTATCGATTTTACATTTTATTATTATTTGAGATATTATTCATCTTTTATAAAAATTTAACTTAAATAGTATTTTAAATTGTTTTAAGACAATATTTAGGTAAATCAAAATGTCATATCCTTGAATATTCTATATAATTTTTGTCATGAATGATTTTATTTTAAAATTACTCAAAAAGATTAAAAAAAAAATGATTCTACGTAAATGCATTTTGTCTATGTTACGTATAGGCCAGAAAACAGACAATGCACTGACCTCCTTAGTTATTTTATTATTTCATATTTTATTAATTTATTAGTAAAATTTTGTATTATTTCATCGTGGATAAAAATAGCCACACATTTGTAGATATTTTTAAGTTTAGTATAATTATAAAATACTTAATGTTTAATATTTTTTTAGGTAAAATTGATTTAAGTAGTGGCAACTTTATGCGTGAAATAATAGCTAATGCAGTAAAAGATAATCAAATAGAATTTAGTGAAGCAGTACTTGGAAAACCAAATGAAGACTATTGTGAATGGATACGGAATCCAAATTCATGGGGTGGTGCTATCGAGGTGTCTATATTGTCTAACCACTATGGTATGGAAATTGCAGTGATTGATACTCAAAGTGGTTCTATTAGTAAATTTGGTGAGGATAAAGACTATCCTCATCGAGTGTTCCTTATTTATGATGGTATACATTATGATCCATTGTATTTGGAAATGCCGTCAAATGTAAGTATTTTTTTTTATAAATATTTTACAATATTTAATTTAATCACATTTGTTTGCAATTTCAGCCTGAAGAAATTCAAACAATATTCCCAACAAATGATGATCGCATGTTAGATGCTGCTCAGATGTTAGCTAACGAAGCTAAGTCTAGTAGACAGTATACTGATGTAAACCGATTTACACTTAAGTGCCTTGATTGTGGTTGTATTATGATTGGTCAAACACAAGCACAGGAACATGCCAAATTAACTGCTCATAATAATTTTAATGAATATTGATATATCCACAACTTAACATGCAATACCTAATAGAGTTCATTTGTTTTTTCTTTAATTAAACTTTAGTTTATACATTAATATTTACTATATTTTGGTTTGTCGATGTTTTTTCCTGTATTAAGGTAATCCTAAATATCAATCCTATTGTGAAAAAGAATTAGTTGTATTATGATTATGTAATGATGATAAAGTATACATTATTTTACCCTTAAGAACAACTTGGATGGTGTCTGCTCTATGAGAAGGTGTGAAGACCTAATTGTGTCTATGCACTTTACCTGACAAAAAAAAAAAAAAATAATAATGAGAATTTTAGTCATTAAAATATAAAATTGTTTATACAATTAAAATCAATATTAACAATATCAGTACAAAATATTTTTGAAAAATAAAATACTTATTTAAATAAGTAACATGTTTTAAATAATAAAAAAAAAATATAATTTATTAATATTAAAAGATAATTGTTAGTTTAATTTATTCTAATAAAATATTTTGAATTCTGGACGGAATAAATAAATCACTAAGGATAACATAAAGCATCAGGTTTCATTTTTTTTAAATACTTTTTTGGTAATTTCTATTAAATGTATATCATTTCCTTTCATAAGTTCATAAATATCTAGTTCATTGTTTTGACCCAAGTCTTCAAGTGATTTATGTGTACAATTGAGTTTCCACTTTGCAGCAAGTTCGTCAATTCCATATTCTGGATCTCTTTCATGATATGTTGTCATAAACTTGGCCAATGGATTACGTTCTAATAAAAATGATATAGTTGCTATTAGATCTTCAAACATAGTTGGTTCGTAAAAACAATCTGATCCAATTATCAAATCAAATGGTCCAATATTTAATGTTTCACGGAAAAAGTAGCCCCACTGCAATCCAAGTACTCTTATCTACATACAAATTAACAATATTATGAAAAGATAATTAATAATTAATACAAATAATCTAAAAAACATTTACTTGTTCAGGATACAAGCCATTCATATAGCAACATTTTTGAACATGTTTAAGAGTTCCAGGTATAGTGGGGTCATCAGTTAATGTAACAATAGCCCCACATTTAGCAGCTACTATACCAGGTAAAGAAGTTCCAGAACCAACTTCTAATATTTTTTTTCCAGGCAATTCAAGTCTATGTTCCCATATAATCCATGCGAGTACAGGTGATGCAGGCCATACATAATAATGATAATCTCCTTCTAGAGCCTATAATAATATAAATGTAATTAATTGAATTGTTTAAATAAAATAATGATAGGTTTTGTAAGATATGGTTTGTACAAAAATCAAAATATTTAAGCACCTGAGGGATGGAGACAAGCAAAGAGTCATATTCATTCACTTGATTGGAGCTAGTAGTTGCTTTTGAATTGTTAATTCTTTTAGTACAAAATGTGAAGTTTTTGATACTATATTGAAGACCTTTATCTCCTTCCATCCAATTTTCTGATATTGTTGAATTATATCCAAGTGCAAACAATGGATCCGACGTAGTCTTAAACTGTTGCGGTGGAGGTTTAATAGGATTAATGGTCCAATCTAAACAATTTGGTGGTACTTGTTCAGCTGGTGGCAGTCTTAGGCTAGAGGTTGATGGGTAAAATGACTGTGTAGGATTTACCGCTAAAGGCATGTACGAGGGAAAACTTTGACTGTTTGGCCAGGGTGATAATGGCATTGGATATGTAAGTTGTGCAGAAGATGTGGATGGTTGTGCTGAATCCAGTTGGAAGTGGTAAGGAGGGAACTGGAGTTTTTCATCAGCGTTTGTTTGTAGGTGGTTTTCATCTTTTGATGTGGATGGTCCAGGTTGACAAAATGGCGGTAAATCCGAATTCATAACGATTCAATAAACTTGAATTCAAAACATTTTCAAAATTATTAATAACATCATAAAAAACTTTGATAATTCATTTTAAAAATTGAAATCGTTGAGCAAGTTACAACCGACGACTAGGTATGTTTTACAAATTTAAGATCAATGTTTTTAAAAATTTAAATGTTCTGATTAAAGCTTATCAACAATATTGTTGTATTTTATGTTATCAACAAGATAAGCAAATCTTATCCGTACAAACAACCAACGATTATTACTTGTTCACCAAATCAGTGGCGCAACAAATAATTTAAAATTACTTCTAAAAATAAGTTTTAATACATATGAGTACATGACGTAACACTAAGTTATTTAATATTGGATTACATGAAAGTTGATTCATTGATATTTTTCTAGCACAACTGCACTGATAATATTAAAAAAAACTAACTAACCTACAAGAACTACAAGAATAAGTTTATAGTAAGTATAAATTATACATTTATACATATCAACCAAATCGTAGTTAATCTGTCAGTGTTCCTAGCCATTTAGCATATTTCCGCCATCATACATTTTTACCTTTCCCTACACATAACTTTTTTACTAACAAGATATACATTTTAGAATTTTAATTCAAATTTTTTTAAATGTGTTTACTAACTAATGTTTTACATCATTTAAATTCAAATTTAATCGTTAAAAAATAAAAACCAACGAAAAATGATTTTAGTGACTTCTTAATAACCTATTCGATATTTTCATTCTTATAAATAATTATTTTATTAACATCTAGATTACAACTTATATTAATATGTTTAAGTAAATTCATTTAACTTTAAAGTGATAATAATAATTAACTCACCGTAGAATTTCTTCTAGAACTTCTTTTCACGAATTTAAAATATATTAATGATCAAATATTGGAATATGAATAAATATAAATACCTATATTGACTGGAGTTGAATTTTGAATTATACTTTTAACTTAAACATACGCATATCTTATATTTAATAATAATAATAATAATAATGCAAATACATTTTTAAAATTATTATACTTTGTGTAATATTATAATAATGTCATATATTTTATATCGCAAGCATTTTGTAATAGTTGTTTATTGAATATATACCTATTTTATATGTATATTATTGAGTGGTAATGTATTTTGAATATCCTAAATTTATCCTTTATTATTATATTAATACTATAAAATATTAGCTTACATTAATATATACTTTGAGCAAATTCTTGATAAAATATATACTATTAATATTAACATATAACAATAAGCATATTTTATTTTGGCATTTGCTTCCTTTTTTTTTTTTTTTTTGGCGCGCCCTCAGTTTGCGCCAATTTTGCCAAGCGTTAGTTACGGTTCTGCATATTAAATACCTTATATAAATGTAAAATAGACGAAAATCAATGATTTTCATCATAAATTTAAGTGTCCTAACAGTTTTGAGATTTAAGTGATCTAACATCTAACAATACATTGGTTTATTACGTCTTATTTTTAAGAAAAAAGAATCCTGGGTTGCAGGAACATTGGAAATTACATATATTACATTTATAAATTAAACTATTAAAATCCCAATTCCTGGAATAATGAAAACCTATTATTTATTGATAGTTCTGGCTATTAGGTTTTGAATAAGTCGTCAGACATTTGATTTTCAGTTTTTGTTATTATAGCGCTTATCAAGCCATCACCTAGCTATCAAATTTGGTGATTAGGTACCTATATTGTATCTTACAGAAGGGAAAGCTTCGTACATTATATATCACACATAGATACATTTCCTAATTATTTAATCAATAACTCTGTCAGTAAATATTTATTATTTGACATTGTTGGAAAAGTAATTACAATTATCCAGTAAATCCATTATTTATTTAAACCATTCAGTTATCGGCATTCATTTGATGTGTTTTATTGCACATCACCTAAGCGTGTCCAAAATCAACTGAGTCAGATTAAAATAATTTCAAGGATTTTTTTTGTTTTTTAATAATTTCAAGTGAACAATAGAGTAAATAAATTCCAGAGCTCTTCCAAACTAATTTAAAAATATATTTTTAGTATAAATATTTTTGAAAGTTTTTATTTCTACATTGAGTATAGGTTGATAGATAGGTATGAAAATAAAATATATAAAAAACATATTTGAATTGAATTATTTGAAATTGAATAACTAAACAATATACACTATACAGTAAATTACCTACATTTTGATAATTTTGTTATTATTGTTTTTAGGTACTAGACAAATCAAAGACTGTAACTTCCATTTCCATTGACATGGGATATTTAAATATTTTATTAATTTATTTAACTATCTTTTGCAAATTCTTCCCTTTGTCTGATTATTTGTTGGTTTTCTATTTCAAAACCAGTAATATTGACTATAGGTCATTTATTTTTGAAATTCTAATATTGTATTTGTTGTAGTGTTGTACAACCCAAAAAGGTTGAGTAAAATGTTGAATTAGAAAATTGAGCATTTTATCGTCTTTCACAGTCTTATATTCCTCGTTTTTAACTCGTATAATAGGTATATACTTTTCTTTCGAAGGTCAGTAATTTTTCTATAATATTTACAATTTATAGTAAAATAGTATTAATAATTTATCAAAACAATTTTAATTAAGAACATAAGTAAATGTCCTAATTTTTAATGATATAAAATTAATTTTATTTAGGTTTATCAATATATAGTTTAATTTTCCATAATAATATATTGTTGTATATTTAACAAAAACAATATAAATATAAGCAATTAAATTTAATTTGACGTTTAATTTTTCAATATTATTTTTTACGGGTATTGAATAGAATATTCAATATTAAAAATGGAAAATCAAATTTTAACATCAGGTACTATAAAGCTTATTTATTTATTTTTTAAATAAATAAGTATGTTCTTCATTACTCTTCTAAAGACTTGATCATAATTTTAATTTACATGGAGTATAATGTACTTCAGTTTTTAAAGAAATTTGATTTAAATTCTGAATTTTAGAATCTGTAGGCAGAATTTGTTACGAAACCAAAGGTTGTTGCATTTCCCTTTGTTTTTTTAAAGGAAGTAATTTGTATATCATAAACATTTTTTTGAAAGACGAATTATACAATCCGGCAATATTCAGTGCAATATTTGTACATATTAGTTTAAAATTAAAGAACATTTTTAAGTAATGTGTTGAATAACAAAAATTTAAGTTTAGACAAATTGCAGTGGATGGTACATGTC